AAAACTTCTTTCCAAAGAAAAACTATACTGTACACTACCTAACACTTCAGCTCTATGTCAAACTTGGTTTGAAAATTGAAAAAGTAAATCGAGTACTGCAGTTTAGACAAGAAAAATTTATTGCACCATATGTTCAGTTGAACACTGAGCTCCGAAAAAAAGCTACTACCAAGTTTGAACAAGATTTCTTCAAGCAAATAATAAATAGTGCGTATGGAAAATTCTGCGAATCAAAAAGGAATCGATTTATTGTAGATATTGTTCGCAATGCCGAAGAACTGCAAAATTTATCAATGAAAAAAGATTTAGCAGTATAAAAATTATTGATCAACACTTGGTATCTGTAGCCTCAAAACCTGTGAACATTAAATGGGATAAGCCCACAATTGTTGGTGCAACGATACTAGATTTGGCAAAACGTTACATGTTCCAGTTCCATTACAACATAATCAAGAGAAAAAAATGACGCAACTTTTTTATATTCGGACACTGATTCGTTCCTGTATGAAATCCGCGGCAAAGATCTCTACAATGAAATTGAGAAAAACCATGAACTGCGAAATCATTTTGACTTTTCAAATCTACCAGCCACCCACCCCCTCTACACCAACGAGAATTTGCGCGTTAACCTCAAATTCAAAGACGAGTTTGCTGGGGAGATCATACAGGAGTACGTCGGACTAAAACCCAAACTGTACAGCATTATTTCTTCCAGTAAGTTTCTTTTTCTTTTCTTTTACCATTTTGCAATTACCATTTTAGAAAAGGGCAACAAAAACAAATCAAAAGATTATGTAGTGAGGGGTGGGGGAGGGGGAAGGGAGGTATTTATGTGGAAAAGGGAAAAAAACTGTTGAAAATTTAAAGTAAATCGATTGTATTTTTGTTTCAGCTATGGATAAAAAAAGCGCGAAGGGGATTGCAAAACATGCAAAAAAGGAGCTAACCCATAATAAATACAAAAAAACTTTGACTTCTGTTCACTGGTCCGGTCAGAAAATGTGAGGATAAATTCCTGTAATCACAATTTACAAACCATAATAACGAACAAAATTTCCCTGAGCGCATTTGACAATAAGCACTATATACATGCAGACAGAGTAACTACTAGTCCTTTCGGACATAAACGTTTGCGTGAGGATATGTTCATAAGAGAAATTGGGCGCACCATGGACTGGGGCGAATACGACGTAGACGACGCCGTGGTCCCCACTCCCACCGATAACGGAAGTGGGGAGGATTTGGCTGAAGCTATAGAAGCGCAGGGCGGGTATTACGTGGATATTTTTACTCCACCAGATATGGGGTTCAACCAACCCACATACACTGATCAAGAGCTAGAACAGGATTTGGTAGATTTCGACCAGCTAAGTGGGCAAAATGAGTCAGAACCAGCAGCGTACAACTGCCCCTATTCGGACATTGAAGCAGAAAACGAGCGGGAAGAAATTAGACCACCTAAACGGCGGTGCTTAAATCGACGTGCTATTATATTAGACGATTCTGACTAACTAAGTTCTGATTATGAATGTAGATGATTAGCTTTATAGTACTTTTCATTCAGGAAATAAAGCTTTTCAAAATTGTTCTTTTGACCGAAAAGTGAAATAATCAACAACTCTAATCGTGAGGGGGAGGGGGGTATTCAACACAACAATATAAACTTACCAATATCACAGCATTTTATTTAATTCCAGACGTGGCGACAAAGATTACAAAATAATCCACAATATAATGCGCGCAGTAAAGTTTGAACTGTCAAAGTCAAAGGGAAAGCATGCACCAACCAAAACTTAATTCCATTCCCGCTTCCATAAAGTGGCTGGAAAATTACCAATTTTAACCCCCCTTAAAACATGCGTGCCCGAAAAAGTAGGGGCTTTAACCCCTTTGGGGGTTAAAAGTGGTAAGTACAACGGCACACCGAAAAAAAGGGGGGGGGGGGGTTAAAAGTGGTCATTTTCCTAGCCACTTTTACTATACTACTTTCAATGAATATTCTGAAAAAAAAACAGCGAATAATCAATTTTTGTAGAACACAAAGAGGTCGCAACGCTTTGTAGCTCGAGCAACCAAAAATAAGTAATCTTCACGGCTTAAGAGACCTAAAATTTGAGTCAGAATAAGTAAACAGAAAATAACTATGTCCGTATTGCACTAATTTGACAATTACCATTTATTTTTTTATAATTTTGGTTTTTAATTACTCATTATGGTTTGAAAACCTAATTTGTAATCAACATTTATTCATTAACATTTACACCACTGAGTCTTAATTTCATCAGTTCAGAATCTTTATACGCGAAAAATTATTTAATTGGTCAAAACTTAATAGCAGCCAGCAACTGGGAAACATATTTACGGTGATCATTAAATTGATCGATGGATCGATCAATTTCTAGCTAAGGTGTGTTTTCTGCAACCAAAACTTTATTTGGAATTTTGTCGATCGTCGGCTTATCTTTAACTTATAAAAAAGAACTTGAACTAGGGATGGTCTACATTTCGCAAGCTTGACCGACCTTACACGAGATATTTATACCCATTGCGTGCAGTTCAATAAAAAGTGTTGAATCTATTTGTGAAGAACTGGTATCGAGTGTTTTTTCTTTAAATCAAGAAAAACAGATAACACCTTTTCTAAATGGAAAGGCACATTTTTTCTGTTAATTTGGCGATCCCATCAACAGTGCTATGTTTCGTTCTCTATCCAAAACTTTTCAAACTAATGAAACTGTATTGCACTAAGTAACCAAAAAATTGATTGAAGAGTGCCCTTTGAAAACATTTCCTATAATATAGAAAACCACTGCCCTGTAATTATTCATATCTGGCTTAGTTCCGATCTTGTGAGACAAGATAACGTTAACTTCGGCAAGTTCAGTTAAAAACATAAATTTTTTCATAATAACCTTTTCAGGATTGTTAAACCTGGTATAATCGAGTACGCGCTAGAGCTTGAAATGTTGTAACATCAATCATCTAGCCTGCGAAGTTTTAGATTTCAGCGAATTTTGTAGTTGGATTTTTTTAGTCGCTAGTTTCAGATATACTGAGAATCTAGGCTCCTTGCTATAATTTCTAACGAAAGTGACATAATACTTGGCAATATTTTCTGTGCAATTATTTGGCAAAAATTTCTGCGCATAGATATCGTTAAAATCATTTGCTTTTGTATTCGAGTCAGTGAACTTTTTATCGTTTTTCGCTATGCCATCACTGACTGTGCTACTGTTTGATTTCAAACATTTAAAAAAAATACGAACGACGGAGAATTAGCAATTTTTTTTAAATGAACCAATACATTGATAATAGTTGAAATGCAGTAGACTATTCTGAGAAGGTTTTTTCCTTTTAAAAGTAAATAAAAAAATTCTTCGAATATTCATTTTAAAAAAAACAAAGTGTGTGCATTGAGGCAACACTGAGTCAGCTCATCAATTACGCATAGATCTTTTTGAATTTTTTTGTATCTGAGTCAGTCTTCTTTTCAACGTTTTCCGCTGTATCATCACTTGCTGAACCACTGTCTCGTTTCATCCCCAGCAGTATTTTAGGCAATTTATGCGTCTGCAGTCACCAAAAATGCTATATTTTCGGCTTTTTGTTCCGACTTTTGATACGAAAGTAACGGAATAATTGTGCTCGGGGTGGTTTTTTTTTCTTCAGACAAATTTCGACTTTTTAATTAGCCATTTTTTACGGAATTTGTTTATATCATTCGAAAGGTATTGTTGTCCTGAGCTCAAATTTGAAAAGATTTTTTACCTGCGATCATTTTTATTTTTCGTAAAGTTACGGGGGTTAAAAGATTGCCATTTTGGTCAATTTGGGACAATTAACGCGCGATATATTTCGCGCTATTAACGCGTAAGCGGAGAATTAATCCGTCTTATAAATCGTTCCAAATTGGTTGAAAGAAGCTTATTTGCCATAATTGATTTGTTACAACGAGCGAAATCTATCCTTTTGTACTTTATATGGCGTGTGGGGGGATGATTATCATTAAACATTTCAAATTTTTGAGAAAAAAAGTTTTCGTTTTGCTTTATTTGATTTAATTTTATAATATTATCACTGCTCCATAAACCTTAAAAGGCACTTGGAACGTTCAGAACTCCACCCTTATACGAGCACTCTTGTTTTTTTATTTTTTCAATCAAACCAATACTTTGATGAATGTAGACTTTCAGTGGAACATTGTGAAAATGTTGTTTCCTTTTTAAAGATGAAACATTTTTTCGAATTAGAAAAACTAAAAGTTGCGTGATTTTTGGACAACATTGAGTAAGCTCTTCCATTCCGTGTGACAAACTAGAATTTAAACACAAAAGGCTCAACTGCAGCTCTAAGTTATTGTTCCGACTTTCGATACGAAAGTAACGGAATATTTGTGCTCGGGGTGGGTTTTTTTTCTTCAGACAAATTTCGACTTTTTAACTAGCCATTTTAGACGGAAATTTTTTATATCATTCGAAAATTATTGTTGTCCAGAGCTTGAATTTGAAAAGATATTTCACCTGGAATCATTTTTTGTAAAGTTATGGGGGTTGAAAGGTTGCCATTTTGGCCAATTTGGGACAATTAACGCGCGATAAATTTCGCGCTTTTAACGCGTAAGCGAGGTTTAATCCGTCAAATAAATTGTTCCAAATTGGTTCAGGGAAGCTTTTATGCCATAATTGATTTGTTAATAGCCGCAAAATCCATCACTTGTACTTAATATGATGTGTGGGGGGATGTTTTTACATAAAATCTCAAATTTTTTCCAAAATTTTTAAAAGTTTTTTCTATTACATTGAAATTTTGCATGTTATTAATGCTCCATAGACCTCAAAAGGCAGTCGGAACCTTCAGGGCTTCGCCCTGATACGGGCGGTCTTGTTAGTTTTTAATGTAGTTTTTATCGGAAAGTTGGTGGCAAAAATAGATTGTTTGAAAGCAATAATTCTATGACTAGGGTTCAATTAAGATTCTACCAAATGGAAAAAGAAAACTCATAGAGTTATAAAAAAAAGTAAATTAGTTTTCTTCAGAGTAAGCAGGGTTAATGTTAAATGAATGAATTTAAATGTTTTTTTTTCTTCAGTTGTATTTAAGCGCTTTGTTCATAAGTCAAAAGTCGTATCATACATATTTTCCGTCATCTTATTTAGGCTGTTTTTCGACTGTGGGCTCGATGTTAGTGGCCGTTGACTCTTTTTCATCTTCTTGTCCAATGGGGGGATGTTCAGAACCAGGTTGATTTACGAACACTCCGTAAGGTGTTGTAGGGGTCATTTCAACTTCCTCATCTTCTTCCCCTATAGGAATAAATTGCCCCTATTTCAACTTCCCCCTATGGAATAAATTGCTTTCGAAAATTAATCGATGGAATGATTAATGAATTAGTCCGAATGCCAATACATTTGTCGAAACTAAAAAAAACTATGAAATATTTCATTTTCAAAAGATTTTATTTCTTAATAAATGAATCGATAGTCATCTTTGTACATGTATAGGTTGCCATAAATAGATAGATAGACGATAGTTAGATAGTTCTGGTCAAGGCCAATTTAGTTCTAAATATTACAGAATCAGTGCTGCTCCAGCGCTGCACACAGAAAAATCAGCGATGCACAGGGGCGGATCTACGACTTTCTCGAGAGGGGATAGAATTTTCAAAAAAAATGGATAAATTAATGACGACTTTTTAGGTTGACCAAATTGATTTTTTGAGCTTAGCAAATAGGATCCTATGTTAAAACGATTATGGAAAAAAGATTACTAACTCCTTGTGACACTTACTCTGAGAACCTTCAAGTTAGTTTTCTATTTGACTCGTTGAGGTACATGAACAAAGTTTTCCAGTCAAAACTATGCAAGTATATTTTCAAAAATAAAAAATTTAAAAGTTAAACTTAATGTCATAAATGAACTAAATAAAAAAAAACTAAGTACGAAAAGAATATATATCTGCGGAGACTATCACATACTCGTTTCAATTAAATAGATAATTTAGTTTTGTCGGACCAAGAAATTGGGGAGGAACTTTGTTTTTGGGTGTGTATTAGTTCTTGTTTCCCACGAAAAATCAGGCAACACGAATAATAATTAGAATGAGTCGCATGTTACATCATACCAAAACTTTTTCTGTCGTGTTTGAAAAAATAAAAAAAAACGTTCAATTTTTTTTTCCAAAATGAGAAAAAAATCAGTTTGAAAATTTTGCGTAGATCAGAGCGAATAAAGCGAGTTTTTGCTAGTCTTTTTTGAGGAACACTGTTCTCAAAAAACTTAATTTATTAGTTTTATTGAAAACAGGGATGAGTTATGTACTAGTGACTGTGCTCTCAGAGTAATTTCAGATAAGGTACACCGTCTGCTCGTCACGCTATCTTATTTTCGGCCGGAAAGATTCGTGCAACTTCTTAGTCTAATACCGATCTTAATCTTACTCTTATGTCTCTTAGTCTCAAAAGATCTAGTGTATACCGGTTTATGCGAGTTAGTTGCCATAAAGAAAACAACTGTATTCTAAGTTTTATTCAATTTGTTCTGGTGCTGAAACTACAAGTAGTTTCAGCACTTACAAATAAGTGTAAATGTTAGAGATGGAGTAGTTATAAATAATTTATAGTGATATTCTATCATAAATATAATTGGTCAATAAATGCTAGTTTAGAACTCGTTCCACCCATCCGAAGTTTAGTGAGTTTTTAGTTTTTAATTGTTTGATGGAATGAAGGACGGGTGCTGTAGTTTCTTTTTGAAGTTGCGAGCGTTGACTTCTTGGAGAAAGGGGAAGTGTGGTTGTTTGTGTTTGACGGAGGAAGATTGTTATGTTCGTGTTTCTAGATGGATCTCGTTGATCGTGGTAGTCTTTAGGTGATTGTGTCAAGACTTCTGATCGGTGCAATGATATATCGATTTTGTTAAGTTTAGAGCGAGACTACGTGCAGGGTGAAGTTTGAATCTCCGTGTAAACTGCCAAGTGACTAGGATTGGTACGTGTGGTCAACATCGAGATCGCCATTGGTCTGGTTCAATGATTTTCCTTTGCTGCGATGTTGAGTCCATACTTTAAATCCTTTGAGGGTAGTGACTTTAGGCAGCAAGTCGAATAGATTTGCCATTCTAAAGTTGGAATGCGATTGGGTTGTCGCCTCCTTTGCTGCTCGTTCATTGGGCTCTAAGAAATCTATACATAGTGCATTTATGGTTTACAAATATAATTACTTTTTGATAATTAAGTTTTAGTTATGATTTATTATTAATTGTTATCGCAGAGGCGTTTTACTTTGGTTTGGTTATTTTTTAAGAGTCGCTCACACTAGAGCAACTCTTGGCAAAAATAAATTGTGCATCACAAAGCGTGATGTAGCCCGGTGGGTTTGGCCGGCTAAAGAGCATGCTCAGGACGTTCCTCTGGTTGTCGAGGCCAGGAGCGGGGTATATTTTTATGGTCTCTTTGTGCAGAGTCTCTTTTTGTGTTCAACCTTTTGTTTCGTTTTTTGTTCACTTGTTTTTCTCTTTTTGTTTAGGTTTTGTCCTTTTCTCAAAAATAGAATCTTTTGTTTTGGACTTGTCTTTCCACTTTTTTGTGTTTTATTTAATTGCTGTAAAAGTTGAAGTTGGTCTTCAAAAGAATAATTTATACTTTTTTAATCTGGTTCTAATCTGGTTTGCGTACCGTGGGTTTTTCTTTCTTAGTCATGCTATTAGTTTGTGATTTTGTGACGTTAGTAAGCTGCGTTGCTTATTTCAGTTTACTATTTAAGTCCTTCCAACCGGATTAAAGGAAAGTTTGAAACATGTGATAACTGGTTAGAGTTGTTATCAGTGAAAGTAACAAATTAAAATTCATTTTTGAAACAATTCTTTGTGGGCGAGATGGGCGGTTGAGGAAAGAATGTGTGATTTATGGGCGAGCGAAAGATTCAAATTTACAAAAGAAGCGTCTTGTAAAAAGGTTTGTATTCTTTTAGTTTAGCTGCAAATTTTCTGATTCTTACATTGAAATTTTAATTTTACTGCTTTTGGGGAAATTAGTTTATTAATTTACCGCCTCGTTGAAGGGAATTTATTGCTTTGGAGGATTATTTATGACTTTATTGCTGTTTAGAGGTAAATTTTACTGCTTTCATTTATACTGCATTTTGTTTAAGTGAGCTTTTAATTCCTATGAAAGTGTTTTCGTTGTTTTATTTATTTTTATTTGTTTTAGATGGTTGTGTGATGAAATCTAAAGAGAAAAGTGAAACCTTTATGAAGAATGGTTAGTTGTGTTTAGGAATTTATAAGTGAAAGATATTTAATTATACATACTCATCGTCTGCGAAAAATTCCTTTGGGAAAGTTTTGTGAATAGTGTCCGATGATGTTAGGAGTTTAGAAAGTAAGCGGGTGATATATTTAATTTGCAGTAGAGGCCATAAGAATTCAAGTGCTTTGATGATCTTTTGCTCTTCACTGCGTGGTGAGAATTCGTGAGGAGTGTTTTGGATTAGGTTAGAAAGTTTTCGGTTATAGTTAGGGTTGTGAATATATTCCAGGATTGAGACTTCAACGGTCTGTATATATTCGTGAGGGACAATTAGTGGACGGGATTCATCAATGTTGAAAGTTCTGGTTAGTGAGCAAAATAAATACATTTGTCCTATAGGATCGTAATTTCTGATGATACCTTGCATGTTAGTGTCTTTTGTACAGTATGTGAAAATTAAGAAGAAGGGTGAAGTATATTTAGAGTTAATGAATTGAAATCAATGTTGCGGGTTTCGTGATAGTGTATTAGTTGTGTAATGGTGTTGGATAATTATATAACAAGTGTATGAGTGAGTTTGTTTTGTGCGTAACATTATTTGAAGCGAGGAGTGTAAGCCGCTTCCTTTTGGAGTTAAAAAATTGAAAATTAGTGAAAAATGGTTAAAATCATTGAAATAGGGATCATAGGCCTTTGTGTCGCGAAGTGCTGTAGATATAACGTAATCAAATTTTTTTCATCCATATATTGTGCAATGGCGTGATCATAATGGTTAATGGAAAATCGGTTTGCATTTTTTGCAGTGAATCTATTTAGTGTTTGGGTTAGTCCGATGGTTGTGAATTGCTTTTCATGAAGTGCTGTGGTTAGGTGTTGTAATCGAGTGTGACACAATTCATTGTCGTCTGGGTTATTATATAATGGGAGTGATAATGGAATACTGAAATGATAACATGAGGTCCTTGAAAGTGTAGGAAACAAGGCATGTTCATTAACAAAAGTTCGTTGATCGTTGTTAGGATTTGTTTGATAGTAAATGTACTCTGGAAAAAAGCACACTTGTAGGAATTCTTTTGTTTTAGTATGAAGTGGTTGAATTGAAAACGTTCGAGGTGGTCGAGGGTTAGAAGGCATTTGAGGATTCGGAGGATGTCATGGTTTGTAATAGATGTTGATTTTTGAGTTTATTAGGGTTTTGGAGTTGTTGTTGTAGGGTTAAAAAATTATCTAAATCATTTTCGAGTTCTTCATCAACGGCGCTAGAGGGTTCAGGTGGGTCGCTGGTCATTGGGAAGAAAATTGGGGTTGCATCAGTGTAGGAAGAAGGGACTGAGGAAGGTTCATCGGGAACTTGGTTATGGAGTGGTTGAAGGGGGGTTGGGAAAAAGGTGATGGGCTAGGCTCGGAATCTGCGAATTCATCTGGGGTTTCAATATCAGAGTTGTTAAATTGTGAAATTGTGTGAAAAACTGTGTCTGTGGAAGTGTCACCTGAATCCATTTTTGGTGAATTATTAGTATATGAACGTACAAGATAGGGAGTGAATTCAGAAAGTGACATTATTGGAGAGTGGCGTTGGAGATTGCATGGGTATGAAAGGGAACGTTTGAGGGATCCAATAAGGCGGCTCATCGTCGGCTAAAAAGATGGGTGTTCTTAGAACGGAAATTAGTGGTATGTTGCTAATCTATAGATTGTTCGTACGTTTTTCTACATTTGGTTTCTGGGCTAATATGTGAGTAACTGGACTTTGTGGATGACTATAACTTGTAGAGATGTGCTCTGTTAGGGCTATATTCCTGTAATTTCGTGGTACTAAGGATAACGGATGGTTATTATGTAAAGTGTGTATTTTGGTGCAGTAGTTGTTGTATTTTTATTGTTTTATCAATTATGATATGCATTAGGTGTGATTGATAGTTTTTTGTTTCAATCATTTATTTGAGCGTCTATTTGAGCGTTAAATTATTATGAAAATATTGCGAAAAATCCTGCTTAAAGTATGCGTGCTACAGTTGCTTGTTTGTTTACTTGTGTGTGTATTGCACATGTATTATA